AAGAAAGAAAGAAAGAAAGAAAGAAAGAAAGAAAAAGAAAAGAAAGAAAGGGACATCTGGGTGGCTCAGTCGTTTAAGCATCTGCCTTCGGCTTAGGTCATGATCCCAGGGTCCTGGGATCGAGCCCCGCATCGGGCTCCCTGCTCTGCAGGAAGCCTACTTCTCCCTCTCCCACTCCCCCTGCTTGTGTTCCTGCTCTCGCTATATCTCTCTCTGTCAAATAAATAAATAACATCTTGAGAGAGAGAGAGAAATAAAGAAAGGGAAAGAAAAGAAAAGGGGAGGGGAGGGGAGGGGAGGGGAGGGAGAAAGACCTTTGCACCTCAAAGGGCTTCAGCCCAGAGGAGAAAGGTAGAGACTGCCAATGTGGAATTTCTTCCCACACTCGCTGCAGAGACGGCCCACTGCCCATCAGGCTGCGTGATTCCCACTGAAGGTGAGTAATCTGATATTGATCATCTGAGCCTTCAATTCCACCCCTCGCCTGACTTCCCCAGCGTGAGCTGGGAGTGCAGGAATCCCAAGAGTCTGCACGTGACATTCACCGCGCCGTCACATAGCCCAGTGGGGACCCAGAGGGCCCGTGGGGCGCTGCAGAGGGGCCCACAGGCCACATGGGCCATGGCATCCAGAGTGTTCCACCGAAGGGGAGCCTGTGAACACCGCCTCCCTCAACTGCTTTCCCACCAACCTTCGGCTGACCCAAGCTCACCATTTCCTGCTGGAGGGACAGGATATACTTACCTGGCCAAAGGTGTATCTGGGCCCTTGTTTAGTTAACACAAGCCCCAGTGCGATCTGGGTTTACAAGAAATCTTTGAGCTTTCAGCACCAGCAGCGAAGTACTCAGGGTGACACGCGGCGGTCCCGGGGGAGGTTCCCCAGAGCCATCACTCAAAGCCCATTTGGCTGTACTTTGTACACAAACCTTTGATAGCTGCATTCTGAGAACAGGATGAAGGACAAGCGGGAGGTTTAAAAGGAAGCTCTGCGAGGACAGGGGCAGTGGAGGAGGTCACTGAACGCATGACAACAATCTGAAACAACGGTGAACACAGCAGGCAGGAAGAACGCAGTAGCTTTGGGACCCCCGATACGGTGGGCCCACTGACTAGCAGAAGCAGCCCGGACTCCCACCACCGAGCACCCCACACGAAGCGACAGCGAGGGCACACTGGTCCCGAGCTTTCCTCTTCCCCTCCCCAGAGAAACCAACAGAAAAGCAAGGGCTCTGCAGAGCTGATCACAGACGAGGATATGGCCTGGTGATAAACACAGCAGACGATGCTCGCTGGGAACAGATGAGACCCAAGCGTGGACAGCAGGAGGGCCATCCTCACCCTGGAGACCAGGAAAATTTGAAAGTCCAACGATACAAAGGAGTGCAACAAGGACATGGGGCAGGGACTCTCACAGCCCGCAAGCAGAAGCGGGGCTTGGGAGCATCACTTTGGAGAGCATTTGGGCATCTTCTTGAACACACGCTAAGTGAACACATTCCCTTCTAGGAATCTGCAGACTGCACGTGGGGGAGCCTGCACGAGGACCTTCCCGGGGATAGAGGAAACCGGGACACAACCCGAATACCCATCGGCACAACAGATAGGCAAAATGTGACGAATCCACTGGGAGGATGAGCACACACAGCACTCGGCAGGAACGAAACAGCCCCAGCGAAGGGCAACAACAAAGCTCAAATCCACGTCGGATGAAAAGCACAGGCCACACAGCCACGTCAGTGCTACACGTCTGTGGGTGTGACAAACACACAGAAACAAAGCCCCGTGCCCTTGAGTGCCCCTGGGGATTTGAAAAGCAAACTCATACTGGTAGGTTCAGCAAGTCTGAGGAGCTACACTTTAATCAATACATGATCTTTTATTTCTATTTTTTTTAAGCTTCTTAAAATAAATTTCTTTTTTTTTTTTTTTTTAAGATTTTTTATTTATTTGAGAGCGAGAGAATGAGAGACAAAGAGCAGGAGAGGGGGAGGGTCAGAGGGAGAAGCAGACTCTCTGCTGAGCAGGAAGCCTGATGTGGGACTCGATCCCGGGACTCCAGGACCATGATCTGAGCCGAAGGCAGTCGCTTAACCAACTGAGCCACCCAGGCGCCCTTAAAATAAATTTCTAAGGGAATGCAGAAGAAGCCAGAGCTGAGGTTCCATGTCTACGAGGTCCCTGGAGCCATCAGACTCGCAGAGACAGAATGTAGATGGTGGGAGTCGGGGCTGGGCAGGGGCTGGGAGGTTAGTGTTCACGCAGACAGAGCCTCCGTTTGGGAAGATGAAATCGGGGGTGTGGGGGCCGCTGCACAACAGCATGCATGGGCTCGATGTCCCTGGATTATACACTTCACAGTTAAAACGGGAAACTGTGGGGGCGCCTGGGTGGCTCAGCGACCTTGGTTAAGCGACTGCCTTCGGCTCAGGTCATGATCCTGGAGTCCCTGGATCGAGTCCCGCATCGGGCTCCCTGCTCGGCGGGGAGTCTGCTTCTCCCTCTGGCCCTCCCCCCTCTCATGTGCTCTCTCTCATTCTCTCTCTCTCAAATAAATAAATAAAATCTTAAAAAAAAAAAAAAAAAAGGGAAACTGTGTTATGTATATTTTACCACAATGAACAAACAATGCAGAGCGGTAAGAAGAGTGAGCAATAGCGGTACAAACTGAACTCCAACATACACATCATTAAGGAAGAAAGCAAAGCTCATATAAGAAATAGAAAATACTTGGGGCGCCTGGGTGGCTCAGTCACTGGGCGTCTGCCTTCGGCTCAGGTCATGATCCCAGGGTCCTGGGATCGAGCCCCGCATCGGACTCCCTGCTCAGCGGGAAGCCTGCTTCTCCCTCTCCCACTCCCCCTGCTTGTGTTCCCTCTCTCTCGCTGTGTCTCTGTCAAATAAATAAATAAAATCTTTAAAAATAAAAAAAATTAAAAATAAATAAATAGAAAATACTATCCATTCATTTGTGCAAAAAAATACGGAAAGAATAACCAAGAAGTGACAAGACCACCTGTCTGCAGGGGCGGCAAGGTGGAGGGAAGGGGACACAGGCGGCACTTCTCCAAGGACGCCACTTGATAGAGAACCGACTCTGAGTCACAGCGAGGCTTGACATACCAAAACCCCGGACAAATCAAACCTACCAGGACGTGGTGTGAATCCCCGATGCAATATAATGCAGTAATAAGGGAACCTGACTGCATTACAAACAAGCGACGCAACCACACTGAAGGGGGTGGGAAGCACATAACGATCCTGGGTAACTCTGGAAGGCAGGATACCACAAGCATCGGGCAAGAGCGTGAACACATACTACCCTCCAGGCAGTGAGCTGGATTTTCAAAACTGCCTTACGTGTGCGCACTAGAGCAGAATGAACCAGCAAACACACTGTGGATGGTGACAGCCAGGCTGTTCACCGACGGCGGGTAAGTCATGACGAAGGAGGGGGAGCCTGCAGGAACTCTGGGATACTGGGCTGGGATGCAAGGCATCAGTATGAACTCATTTTTAATGTCGATGCAAACGGGTGATAAGGAAGTACAGGTGTGGGTGTGGGTGTGTGTGCGTGTGTGTGTAAGAACACACGCAGATGAACTTCCCGCTCTGTCCACGAGGGGGCCTGGAGGCAATGACACCCCAGCCCAGTGAGCACACCCAACACCCAACCTCGGTTTCTAATTCCACCCTCCAATAAAAGGAGCCAGGCTCCACGAAGAAATGGTTGGTTTCAGGCCTGGGACTGGAATGTGTGATAGTGACAGGAAGGAAGGACGTGCTCAGAAAAGGAAGGGGCATATTTCAAGGGCACAGGACCCAGTCTGAAAGAACACCCCCACGGCCAAATCTGGAACAATATGTGCAACCACATGAACAGTGTGAGCATGATGAAAACCCACTGAATAAGATAAACATCCATGAGTCTGTACTAACATAAAGAAATGTTAAGTAAGTAAATGTGGAGAAGGGACAGGTTCCTTTAAAGAGCACAGTTCCCAGTAACAAATCTAGAAGGAATGAAAGAAACTGAAAACAGTCATTAGCCAAATATCAAAGTAACAACTGTCACTGGCAAGATCCATCGATGGACTCTAAAATCAGCAGATAAAACTCCGACAGAAAAGGGTATTTGCAGACTCTCACAAAGTGTCTCTCCACAAGATGCTTGTTAATTAGAAAAGGAAAGATGGGGACGCCTGGGTGGCTCAGTTGGTTGGGCGTCCGACTCCTGGTTTCGGCTCAGGTCGTGATTTTGCAGTCGTGGGATCGAGCCCCACGACTGTGCTCAAAGCTCAGAGTTGGCTTCAGATTCTCTCTCCCTCTCTCTCCCACTCACTTTCTGTCCCTCTCTCTCTCAAATAAATAAATAAAATCTTCAAAGAAAAAAGCCAAAGGAATAATGTGACTTCACAGCCGAGAAACACGCAGACGCCAACGAGAAGACATGCCAACACCCTGTGTCCCCGGGCACAGCACACTGAGGACACGGCGTCACCTCCGTGGATTTCTGGTCCAAACTCATGGACGTTCTACCAAACACCCGGCCAGTGTTCTTCACAAGTGTCACGGTCATGAACGACCAGGAAAGACTGAGGACTGTCAAAGACCGAACAAGGCTAAGGAGCCGTGACCACGAGCGTGAGGAGCGGTTCTGCATCAAACCCTGGAACAGAAAAGGTCCAGGGACGGGGCTGAGGGACCGCGAAGGTCTGCAGGCTGACCGGTCCTGGTACCCCGCATCTGGAGAACGGTACCGCAGGGGCAGCAAGCTGGGCATGGAGAGAGTACTTCTGCGCCTCAACGTGCAGAAATCGGCGTGTGGCAGAGGGAGTGCCCGGGAGGTGAGGCACGGCGGGAAGGGCAGCCAGTCTGTTCTCAGGCCATCTCTGCAGGCATTACGTCCGTGAAGCTACCGCTGGGCTCCGCGCGGAGCCCGAGGGGGCAGCCACCCGGCGGCGGGCCGCCCCCAGCGCCCGGCCCGCCCTCGGCACTCACCTTCGGAGCAGGGACTGCTGCAGGCTCTTGCAGGTGGCCAGGGACTCCCCGGTGAACATGTGGCACACGACGACGTGCAGGCAATGCGCCATGAAGGCCAGCACGGCCTCGGGCTGGAGCGTGCCACTGCGCGACACCAGGCAGAGACGCTGCAGTGCGGAGCACTGGCTCAGCGCCTGGAAGAACTGGGCGTTGGCACTGAAGTACGGCTGCTCCAACCTGTGGGGGGACAGGACAGTGAGCCCGAGTTGGGGGGGCACGCCGCAGGCCCGACGCAAGCAGCCAGCCACTGTAGAGACCCCGGCCAAGTCACTGCTCGGAGCCTAGAGGCCACCACGTTTGCGGCCCTGCCTGCTCAGCAACCCCCCCCCCCACCTCAAATGCTGACCTGCCGGGCGAGGGAGCAGGGAGATGTACTTAGATACGGTCCCTGTCACACATCACTGCTCGCCTGCGATGCACGGAGCAATGCCAAGGGACAGGGAGGGGATCTGGGGGCTGGGGTGGGAGAGGCGCCCGAGTCAGGCGGGGCCGGGGCCGCTCTGGCCACACGGGGAAGGGTGGGGAGGTACCGGGCAGATCCACAGTCCTGTAGCGGGGAGCCAAGCTACAAAGCCAGGACTTCAGCTGCGGACAACCACCAAAGAAAAACTGGGGATCCACCCAGGTCAGACCTGCTTTAGAGAGACAGACAGGAAAAGACGGCAAGAGCCACACTGGCCACGGGGCAGGGCCTCGGCACGGGCAGGAGGGAGCGCTGGGGTCAGCCCTGACTCTCCCGCCACAGGGACGAGAGCAAGACCCGGGAACGCGGAGTGGAGGACAACGCTCCAAACCCTTCCAGACCTTTCTGCACACCCAGACGCAAAGCCCAGAGGACAGAGCAGTTCCGAGCAGAGTGATGTGCTGGGGACACACCGTTAGAGGCGTTGAGGAAAACTGACACAGCAGTTCAGCACCAGCTGGGAACAGGCTGTGGAACCAGCAGACGCCGGATTTGTGGCAGGACACTGGGCCACAGGCCACAGGGGCCCTCTAGAGTGAGAGCCAGTGGAAGAAGGGAGGGCTGGGGGAAGCTAACAGGATTCCAGGAGCTGCCAGGAGGAGGGCCAAGAACTAGGAGGAGGGAGAGGGGAGCTGCTGGGAGTTGTGTTCCCCGCCCAGATATGTCACAGTCCTAACCCCTGGCACCCGTGAACACACCTTCCTTGGAAACAGGGTCTTTGCAGATGCAATGGCGTTAGGATGAGGTCATGCTGGACAAGGGGGCTCTGATCCAGCGGCGGGCTCCTTACAAGAAGGCCATGCAGAGGCACAGCACCGCACGTACATGCGGGGATTGCGCCGCGGGACAGTGCAGTGCTCATAAAAGAAGTTCCTAGGATGAGCAAGAAATGCCCACACCCACAACCACAAGGCGGCAGGTCTGCACTGGGGACAGAGTGTCCTGTCCCAGCCCCCAAGGGGAGAGAGACCCCAAATACTCTGAATGCAGCAACATCCTGAGAGGCTGATCCGACCGGGACTGGGTGTAGGGCATGGGATGGCCCCCCAGTCCTCAAAGCCCAACAAGACCCAAATGGGCCATGCACTAGATGTGGAGCCCAGGCCTTACCCCAGACCCCACTGAATGAATTCCATCCTTAAAGCAAGAACTCAGAGAGGCACGAGCAGAGAGCGGTGCCCCTCAGAGATGCGAAGGTGGCTGTGTGCAGTCCTAATGCACCCCAAGCAAGGACAAGGTGACAACCGAAGTCACGCAGGGCCCAGACAGCAAGCAAATGTCAGCCCAGTTAGGAATGCAAATTTTTTTAAAAGAGAAAATGTTTGAACACATTCTTGCATTCTTTCAAAAACAAATTATTCTCTTCAAAGTCCTGAGGTAAGCATCCCTTTGCAGACCTGAAGGTGGGAAAACGGGAGGGGCGGAAGTGCAGACCGGGGCCTGCGGCTCAGGCTTGCCCCTGGGGCAGGCGGCAGGAAAGGAAGCACGGGCCTGGGGCGCCCTGGTCACTAGATGGCGCTGTGGGTCCACGCTACCCGCCCCAGATCTCGGTTACAAACCCAGTAAGCAGTGTGTGAGTGCTGTGTTCACACACGCTTTTAAACAGCAGTTTTCAGCTAGCCGACCACTTCCAGGCTCTCCCACTCTGAAGGAAGCCGCCTGCAACAGGTGTTTGGGATGGGGGCAGGCCTGTCCACTCCACCAGCTGCCTGGACAGGCAGGGCCCACACGTCCAAACCTCCCTTCCGCTCCCAGCCCGGTGGGGCTGGGGATGACAAAAATGATCCGCCACAATCACCTTCGCCTTGGGGGGCCCGTGGTCCTGCTCCCTCGCAGCCAGGCCTCAACCTTCCAACCAGTGAGGATCTGGCCTCCGGAGCCCGCTCCCTGAGAGGCAGCCTGGTCTCCCCATGGCTCTGTGGACACAGGAAGGTGCTCAGGGAGCACCCCCATCTGCCCACCCACCTCCAGCGGGGCCGAGGCCTCTGGGGCAGACTTGGCACAGCCTCCGGGGCCTGGGTCCAAACCAGCCCTCTCACTTCCGCCCAGACGCTGCCCTGGTTCTGAGGTCATGAGCAGCCCAGGGTGACTCAAGGTAATGTTTTCCCCTCCCTCCCCTGTGAGGCAGGGCTTAATCAGTCTTGGGAAAGAAGGTGCCCTTCTCTGTGCAGGCTGTAACCCTCTCTCTGCCAAGGTGCGCCTCGGAACGACGTGTTCCTGCCCGACCTCCCCGCAGGAGCGGCCCTGGCTGCACGGATGCAGCTCCCGGCCAGGAGTCCCGGCGGGCACAAAGCTCAAATTGATGGGCCTCGCTGATGGGGACAGTGGTGGCCGCAGCTGGCCGGCCGGGGACCTCCCACTGGGAAGAGCAGGGGCTGCCCAGGGAGGCGGCCCCAGAAGCAGCGTGCCAGTCTCTCCCGGGCTCGGAGCAACATTTCTTCTCTGCGGCTCCTGCGCGCGGCAGGCGGGCAAGTACCACCTGCTCCTTTCACTCCAGCCTCCCTGGGCTCGGCTTGCCGCAGAAGGCAGAAATCCAGAGGAACGGGGCCATTTGGCCGCATTTTAGGAAGTGGTGTTTGTTCTGAACAGGCAGTCCCCAGCTCTGATCAGACATGGTTCTCAGCAGCCGGCGTGCACAGAGAGTCCATTATGAGCGGCAGTCAAGTTCTCGGGCTGACCTACAAAACCCATTTATCCCGGGTCCTGCGGGCCGCCCCAGCCACAAAACCCATCATGCATGCATGGCCCTGCTCCCAGGGAGGACCTCACCACAAGGATCACATTCCAGCCGGGGAAGCCACTCGGTGACCACCAAATGCTGCTGTGTCCCGCTCTTCGATGCTCCCCGGCGCCGGGAGGCAGGACGCGCGGCCAGGGGCCCACAGACCAGCTGTATCACCTAGGCAAGCTCCTCAGCCCTCTGGGCCTCACTTTCCTCATCTGCAAAATGGGACAACAGCTCTACTCCTGGGGTTGTTCAAAATGTTACAGGAGTCAAACCTGGACGCGCGGGAAAAGCACCCGGCAGCCGTGACAAGTCTGCCAGCAGAATGCGACCGCAGTCGGCACCCCCAGCCCTTCCCGTAGCTCCCGGGACACCTCCTGGCTCCGTCTGCCACCTCAGCCCTGCCCGCCCTCCCGCCGGCTCCTGCTCAGTCGGCTCTGCTGACTCCCTCCACCCCCTGACTCTTGCTGAGTGACCCCACGGCCTCACAGACTCCGGCGCGCACGCGCGCAGCCGAGCCACACAGCCTCCCCCTGTCCACTGATGGTGCCGCATCAGCGCAACTGCTCGGGCCAAATGCCTCTGCACCATCGGGACCCACCCTGACCCCCCCCCACCCGCCCCAGGGATCCGATCAACCAGCAAACTCCAATCTCTCCCTGAAGAGCCTCCTGCCCCGCCCATCTGTTTGGACACAGCAGGGTCACCTGCCCTTCTGCTCCCCTCCAGCTACACGGGCCCCTGGCTGCTCCTGAAACACCCGGCACAGCCCATCGCTGGGCCCTGGCACGGACTCGGCTCTGTCCAGCAAAACCTTCCGTGCAGACAGGAACGTTCCGCACATGTGCCCTGTCCACGGCAGCAGCCAAGAACGTGTGCGCTCGCCGAGCACCTGAAACGTGGCTCGTACCGCTGAGAAACTGCATGCCTGAGTCTATTTCATGTTAACTCGTTCAAACGTAAGTCGCCTGTGATTCACAGACACTGAATTCCGTGCCGCTCCGCCCGGCTGGAATGTTCCTCCCAGGTTGTACTTTGCTAACTCAACTTCGTGGAATCTTTTCTCAAATCTCACCTTCATGACGCTCACCACCGCCTGCCCTCCCTCATCCCTCAGCCCGCTCTGCTTCCTTCTCCCCAGCATCCCTTACTCTCTCATAAACCACATTCTTTCTTCCGTGCACTGTTGGCCCGCTCTCCTCACTGGAATGTCAGCTCCCCAGGGACAAGGATCTCTCTGCCCAGGACAGAACCCAGCATAACAGGTGTTCACATATTTGTTAGATGGAGAAAGAACCATCACGGGGACCGCAGGTGCCAAGCCCTGTTCCGTAGGCCTTACAGGTACAAATTCCTTTGGGCTTACCAGCCCCACTTCACAGGTGAAGGACCTGGGAGTGCCGGGGCGGGGGGGGGGGGGGGGGGGGGGGGGAGGGGAACCAGCTCAGACGCCACGCCCACTGCCCTCTGCCCGAGGTGGAGGGGCCAGCATCCCAGGGAGCCGGGAGCACCTGCTGTCTCCACGCGGTCCTACAGGCACCAGACACGGAACGCTCTGGAGTGAGGCAGGTGTTTGGGGGAGAGATTTCGACTACTCTGACTTGCTGAATTACATGACTGTGTTACTTTATTTTACCTTCATCAGTTTCCGTTTTTATCCAACACTCCCCGATGATGACCAAACGGTGTGACCACAGTCCAGTCAGAAAAGGTACAAGGCATGGGCGCCTGGGTGGCTCAGATGGTTAAGCGTCTGCCTTCGGCTCAGGTCATGATCCCAGGGTCCTGGGATCGAGTCCCGCATCGGGCTCCCTGCTTGGCAGGGAGCCTGCTTCTCCCTCTGCCTCTCTCTCTCTCTGTCTCTTATGAATAAATAAATAAAATCTTTAAAAAAAAAAAAAAAAAGAAAAGGTACAAGGCTTAATGGGCTGGCAAGAAGGCAAAAAAAAAAAACTGATGGCAAAGATGAGAGATGAGAGATCCAAAAATACTTTGACTCCGAATTTGGTGATATTCGACCTCAAATGCTCACTCAGCCTCCCCTCATTAAGGAACATTCAATTCCTAATCACAGACTCCCGTAGGTTAGCAGGGTCGCAGACCTGCAGAGTCTTCTGTTTGTTAAATGTAGGGATCCGGGGCGCCTGGGTGGCTCAGTTGGTTAAGCAACTGCCTTCGGCTCAGGTCATGATCCTGGAGTCCCGGGATCGAGTCCCACATCGGGCTCCCTGCTCAGCGGGGGGTCTGCTTCCCCCTCTGCCCTCTTCCCTCTTCCCTCTTGTGCTCTCTGTCTCTCATTCTCTCTCTAATAAATAAATAAAATCTTAAAAAAAAAAATGTAGGGATCTGTTCGCACCTTCCAGTGACATGTGGCCTCCTGACCATGCACTTACCACCACTTCTTCCAGAAAGGCCAGTGACATGATAGCAAAGGCACAGGAAGAAGCAAGGAGGGACAAGGTGCTGGACAGAAAGAACCAGTGAACAGAGAGGTCGCGGATTCCTGGTGTCACAAACAAACAGGTAAGAAGGCAAGCGTGGGCACCTCAGAAGTCGAAAAGGCCCATCCCGTGCAGGGGGTGGTGGAGGGGGCTGGCTGCTGCGGTCAGGGCCTCTCCTCCACCCCACCCCAGCAGAAGTGCCCAAGCCGGAGAAAGTAACACAGAGGACTCGATGAGGGCCATGAGGCAGAGGTGGGCAGGAAAAGGAACATGGCGGAGGGGGGGCGTCAAGAAGCAAAGAGCAGGCCTGCAGTCCTCACTCCCGCGAGCCCTGGGAAGCCAGTGGCCAGGAGTGCCGGGCCCACCTGGAGCAGGACAGAGGGTCCCAAAGGCCCTGCAACGGGAACAGCAACTCTGCCCATCGCACGCCCTTAACCCTCTCGCGACCTCCTGTATGACCTCTGGGCAAGCTCCGGAAGCGTCTGGGGAGGCACAGCCAGAGCCCAGCACCCGCAGCTCTGCACGTGGCTACAGGGTCTCACAGACACTGGACAATAAAACTCGAATGAAGTTAACCTTGGCTCAAAGCAGGTTCTCAAAGCAAATGTAACTGGAACACGCAGGACACGGCATAAACAACTCCCAAATACGGGGCTCTGAGGACACTCGGGCTGAGGACCCAAGCTGCGAATCCAGGGCGCGTGAATCCAACATGGCAGGAAAACACCTGCTCTGCCGCGTGGAAGGCTGGGGTTGGGCCCTGGGCCTCTCAGCCCCCGATGAGCAAGGCCTCAGGGAGCCTCAGTGTCCATACTGCGCTTGGAGGGGAAGCGGAGGCAGTCTGCGGCGGAGCTGTGCAAGGCTCCGGGGTGTGAGCCACGAAGCCCCTGCTAGCTCCAATGCAAATCTGGCCCATTTCTTGTCACATGACACCTTCTGAGGGGAGCGTGGAGGTCGGCAAAGGACACAGAGTCTCCATTTTGCACGGCTCCGGGGCCAAGGTCAAGCTCTGGAGTGAGACTGAGCTGGGTGAACCTCAACTCCTCCCTCAAGCTTCCACCGGCTCGTCTGTGAAATGGGAACAACGGAGGGCTGTCCCGGGGATTAAACCAGACGGTGCCCAGAAGTCCCTGGCTGAGCACCTGACCTCACCAAAGGCACAAAGTGCGCACGGACCGTCGAGCGGACAATGACACACTCGTCTCAGGGCCCCTGGCGCCGCCCCCACCCAGCCGTCCACCCCTCAGCTCCAGCCTGACTGAGAGATCAGCTAACAGATCCACACTCCGCCGCCACTTCCTCCCCAACCTGAGGCGAGAGCTGGGGTCCGCTGCCGCCATACCTTTCCAGTAGTTTCTAGGAAACAGTGCAATTTTGCAAGATCAGATCTGTCAAGATTTTCAAACACGTCTCGAGTCAACAGAGGCTCTTCCCCTTTAAACGCTGGGTCCTCACGAGAGCCCCCCTCACTCCACAGCTCGATTCGGTAGAGTCCACTCCGCGTCTGGGCCCCTGTGACAAGGGCCTGGTGGGTTCTGCCCTCACTCTCTCCGACCAGCCTGCCTCCTGCCCCAGGCCACCGTCATCTCCCAACCACGTGCGGCCCCCGCTTCGGCGGCCCTCTCCAGCTCCTCCATCCCAGCCCCTCCTGGGGGGGCCTCTCCCAACCAGAAATCGGCCCGCCCCCCTGCACCAGCTGAAGTCCTTTCACCTCACCTGGTTCCCCACCCCACCTCGCCTGTGCTTCGGGACACATGCGTTTTTGCAAGACCGCGGGGGCTGCAGCACATGCTGCCTGCTTTCCCAGCAAGCCTCGGCCTCGAGTCTCCCAGCTCACAGACTCGTAGCTCCGACAATGCACAAAGTCAGACAGAAAGCCCCGAGTTCAGCTCCCGGCTGCCCCGCTTACCAGCTGTTGCATGGGAGCAAAAATAGCCACCTCGCGGGGCTGTCAGGAGGACGGAGCAAGACCACGCGCAGTAGCATCTTCGAGCGCATCCCTGCCTCCCGCCTGCCTCCCTGGACTCCGCCCACTGCTGCCCCCCTGTCCGGTCACCGCCTGTGGGGCCCCTGTTGGCCCCGCCCAGACTCTCAGCCACTGGAGGCCAGCCCGCCCCTCGTTCAGCCCATCTCGGCAGACGGGCAGTAGGTGCGCAAACATTTGCCGAATGAGAGGCCGTGCTACCCACGTCCCCCCCGCCGCCTTTCACGCCTCCAAGGGGCCCACCGAGGCCGCAGAGGAGCTGCCAGAGCCCCCTCACCTGAGGTCTTTCAGCCGCTTGCAGTGCTTCAGCATGTCCGAGAGGGCGGACATGTAGACCACCTTCCCCATCATGCCCAGGTTGGCCAGGGAGAGCGACTGCAGCTGCTGGCACTGCAGGCCGATGCTGACCAGCCCGGAGCCCGTCAGGATGCTGGGCAGCTGGGCCAGCGTCAGGTGCCTCAGGAACGCCAGCTGCCCGATGGCGGCCACCTCTGAGTCCCCGACGTTCTGCGCCCGGCTGCAGGGTGGGAGGGAGTTGCGGATGGCGGGCTCGTTGCGCGGCATGGCGGAGGAGAAGTTGGACCCGATCAGCTCGAGGCGCTCCAGAAAGGGCACGTCCTTCAGCAGAGACCAGAACACGGAGGAAGGCTGAGGGCCCGCCTGCCCCGAGAACGGGTTGGGGCAGGACTGCACGCCGATGCGCACCTTCTTGCCGAAGCCGCGGGGCACGGCGTGCATGGCGGGCTGGGCGGGCGCGCGGTCGGCCCGTGGCGCCGAGTCGGCCACGGAGCAGACGGGCAGGGACAGGGAGCGCAGGTGGCGCAGCCGGGCCAGCAGCTGGCAGAGGTGGCGGCCCGGGCCCTCGGAGCTGTGGTGGTGGGCGGCCGAGAGGTTGAGGTGGCGCAGGTTACGGCAGGATGCCACCAGCGTCTCCAGGATGCCGCTGTCGATATCGTCCTCCGCCTTGCGGAGCAGGGAGTCCGGGGACAGGCAGTGGACACAGCCGCTGAGGTTCAGGCTCGCCAGGCTGCGGAGCTCCTTCCCGCCGTTGATGACCCGCTGGATCAGGTGGCCGCCGGACAGCGTGCAGCGGCTGAAGCTGAAGTAAAACGGGTTGTTGAACTTCATGTGCTGGAGCAGGGACGAGCCGTTGAGCCAGGACTTGGGCAGCTGCAGGGCGTCCAGCGCGACGTTGCGGGCCATGGAATCCAGGAGGTTCTTGGTGGCCCCGCTCTCGGCGAAGCTGCCAGGCACAGAGATGAGGAAGGCGTGGAGGTTCTCGGGCGTGCGGTCGCTGAGCACGGCCAGGTAGAGCCGCACCACCTCCTGATTGATGTAGCCCGGGGCCAGGCGCGCATAGAAGACCCGCAGGTTCTGGTAGTGGGGCACGTTGCTCTGGCCCACCATCAGCTGGCCCGAGAGGATGGCGCCCTCGCGCGTGCGGTCCAGGATCTCGAAGTAGAGCAGCAGCTTCTCCAGGCTGGTGCAGCAGGGCACGACGCCATAGGAGGGCGTGTACAGCGTCTGCTTGAGCTCCCGCACGCGGCTCAGCGTGGCCTTGCACTCGCCGCTCAGCTGGCCGGCATCGAAGCCGGGGCTCACGTCGATGGCCAAGGAGCGCAGGTGCTGCAGGGCCGAGAGCATCTTGGAGAGGCGCAGGGAGGTCAGGTGGCAGCCCGAGAGGTTCACCTTGACCAGGCTGCGGCAGCGGGCCACGTGCTCGATAGTGGCACCCGACAACCAGTAGCAGCCGGCCATGTTGAGCTGCTGGATCTCCCGGCCGATCTCCTTCACCAGCTGCTTCACTTTGTCCTCGCTCGCCTGCAGGAGAGGCCGGGAATGGGGGGCGGGGTGGTCAAGGAAGGAAAGGGGCTGAAGACACCCAGGCGACTCCTTCGCCTTTACCCCTCAGGTCGCGCCCTCCCCCACGACACTCAGGGCCTCACCAGTCCAGCGGAGGGGAGACACTGGAGGGGAGAGCTGGCCCCTCCTCCCCCTCCCACACGCTCACCTACCACAGGCCAACGGTCAAGAGGCCCCAGTTAGGCGGGAATGTAAAAACGGTGCAGCTGGTGTGGAAAAGTGTGCTGGTTCCTCAAAAAGCTAAACACGGAGTGACCATGTGACCCGGCAATTCCCCTGCTAGGCGTGCGCCTGAGGGAACGGGAAAAACAGGGACTCACTCCCCGCTCCCCAATGTTCACAGCAGCACTAGTCCCAGGAGACGGAAACAACCCAACGCCCACCGACAGACAGAACCAACATGGTCTGCACATACAAGGAAAGACTATGTAGCCACGGAAAGGAGCAAAGCTCTGACACACGCCACAACGTGGGTGAACCTTGAGGACGTCACCCAAGGGAAAAGAAGCCAGTCCTAAAAGATCCCATGTTGTGTGATTCCACTTACACGAATTACCCAGAAGAGGCGAATTCACTAGCAGAAAGCAGAACAGAGGTTACCAGGAGCTGGGGGGAGGTGAATAGGGAGTCACTGCTCACAGGATCCAGAGTTTCTGTTCGGGGTGATGGCAAAGCTCTGGCACATCACCACAAATGGATGCACCGCGTAACATACAGCAACACGCACTTAAAAACAGCCAGGATGGTACATGTTATGTTGACTTGGGATTTTCCGAATCACACGATGGAATCATGCCCTGAAAACTTGATCCTTTACATCATCTGCATTTTCACATCTTAAGTATTCCTCCAACACCTACCGTGGACTGCTCAGGTGAGCCACGGTACGTCTAGTGAGGGAACCCGGGGGCCAACAGCAGGACGTCCTGGCCGCTGCCAAGGAGGCCTTCAGCAGCAACACTGCCTGGAGCGCCCGTGCGCATGGTGTGCGTGCATCCCGATCACTTCTCTCAGGTAGACTCGCGCAGGACACGAGCATCTCCAATGCTCCAGATACACGGTGCTGCGACATTGCGCTGGGGGCACCTGTCCCTCCCTCTCCAGGAAAGAACTCTCCCGGGCAGGAAGCCTGACCTTGGCTCTGGGGAGTCAGCTCAGCCTCCCCGCACACCCACACTCTCCCAGCAGAGAGGAGCACAGCATGCTCTCACAGAGAGAACCAAGCTCTGGAGGGGCCTCACTCGGGGTTCAAATGCATAGCTTCACAGCCAGTGACAACAGTTAGGAACCCCTCCCACAGTCTCCTAAAATTTGGGTTCCAGTCAAGACCTCTATTGTTATCTTTAAGATTGTGTCATCAACTGACTTTCAACAAAAGTTGCAAGGCAATCATAAAAAGGAATAAAACCTTGCCATTTGCAACAACATGGATGGAGCTAGAGAGCTTAATGTTAAGTGAAGTTAAGTCCAAGAAAGACAAATACTGTATGATTTCACTCATATGTGAATTTAAGAAACGAAAGAGCGAAGGGAAAAAGAGAGACAAATCAAGAAACAGACTTAACTACAGAGAACAAAGTGATGGTGACCAGAGGGGAGGCAGGGGGACTGAGGAGTGCACTTGTGGTGAGCACCAGGTGATGTACACCTGAAGCTAATATAGCACTGTATGTTAACTGTACTGGAATTAAAATGTAAAAACATAATTAAAAAACTTGCAAAGCACTTACTGAGGAAAGGACAACCGTGTCCATAAGTGATGTTGGAACAACTGAAGAGCCGTATGCAAAGAAAGGAACCCTTGATCCTTACCTCACACCACATATAGAGATTAACACAACAGGGATCGCACACTTACCGTAAGAGCTAAAGCTATAAAGCTTCTACGAGACAACGTAGCAGAAAATCTTCACAACCTCAGGTCTAACAGTTTTCTTCAACAGATTACAAAAAATATGAACTCGAAAAATATCAATAAATTGCACTTCAACTTAAACACTTATTCTCTTCAAAAGATACTGTTAAAAAAAAAAAACAAAAAACAGAAAGGCAAACCACGGACTCTGAGAGAAAATACTCACAATACGGGTATCTGAAAAAGGATCCAGAGTACAAGAGAACTCCCAGAAGTCTACAAGAAAAAGTCCTACACAGTGGCTTCTGGAAAGAGGATATAGGAACAGCCCAGCCCTGGATGGAAACAGCACTGTGGACACCCCAGCACCCTACCCAGGCCAGGTAAAAGCACAAGGCAACATCTGTCCCACCCATCAGAAGAACGGACACTTAGAAGCCCGGCCAGGAGGGCGCAAGGCAGCTGAAGGCCCACACGCAGCTGCTGGAGGGTAAGATGGTGCCTCCCCACACCACCGAGAAAGTTCCAGAACCCACTCCTGGGCATCTGCCGGATGCCCCCCGACTGGGTGGCCCGCTACCCACAACTCTCGGCCTCTAACTTTCATCACCTCATGTGTCTCAGAGGTTGAGCCAGTCAGGACTCTGAGCGCCGGCCCCTTTGTCACCAGCCACACGGCGCCCCACTGCCCAGCTATGCTAGTCCTCAGGTGGGCATGTGGGCTGTCCCACCCCTGCAACCCCTGCCTCACCTCATAGTCCTTCTGCAGCAGCACGGTGTGGGTGAGGCTCTTGTCCAGGCACAGCACCGCGAGCTTCCGGCAGGTGCGCCGGACGTTCAGAACCAGGTCTGTGCTGGGGACGTGGCTCAGGATGTGCAGCAGGATCTCATCCGAGAAGCCGAGAAGGTGGGCGCCCACCACCATGGCGGCTGCTGCAGGGGGCATGTCGTCATCGTTGGATGTGTCCTGAAAATAAGGGCAACACTGAATTCCCATGGGATCCCCAAGGGTGGCCTTCATCCTGGCCTCCTCAACCAAGGACAGGTGCCAAGAGCAGCCCTCGCCATAGTCTGTGGGAAAGAAGGTGCTTTTACCAAAAATCTTAACTGCAGAGCAAGAAGCCATGATACTCTTCAAAAGCCCCGTTTATTTTTTTTATTTTCATTTTTTTTAAAGATTTTATTTATTTATTTGAGACAGAGAGAATGAGAGAGAGAGAGAGCACATGAGAGGGGGGAGGGTCAGAGGGAGAAGCAGGCTCCCCGCCGAGCAGGGAGCCCGATGCGGGACTCGATCCAGGGACTCCAGGATCATGACCTGAGCCGAAGGCAGTCGCTTAACCAACTGAGCCACCCAGGCGCCCCAAAAGCCCCTTTTAGATCTGCACACTAGGATCTCTCGCCAAAAGTAAGAGATTCAAAATGAAACTTCAATTCTTTTCCAAATTTAAGGGATTTTTTCCTACTAAAGGTCTGCTATCAAGTCTGGCATGTTTCAGACTCAACTTAGGACCACTGGCCAGGGCTGTCCGCTTGTGAAAGCTGCTATTCTCCCGCTGTCCCAACGTCATACTGGATTCTTAAAACACTTGGGTGGGAGAATTCTATCAAGAAACAGTAAGAACTGGGGCTAACAACAGTGACTTTACCTCTCGGGGTTGCTGTGATGGATATCAAGCCCTCAGCCAGTGGCCGGGGGCAGCTAGTCCCAGCACTGGCATTAAGGGCAAGAAAAGCCAGAAGAATGAAACTATCAAGTCCTTATGAATAAGAAACAGCACCTAGGGGCACCTGGGTGGCTCAGTCGTCGGGCGTCTGCCTTCGGCTCCGGTCATGATCCCGGGGTCCTGGGATCGAGCCCCGCATCGGGCTCCCTGCTCCGCGGGGGGCCTGCTTCTCCCTCTCCCGCTCCCCCTGCTTGTGTTCCCTCTGTCACTGTCTCTCTATCAAATAAATAAAATCTTTAAAAAAAAAAAAGAAAAGAAACAGCATCTACTCATGACATTAAGATCAGTACTACTTACTAGCTAACAGGGAGCCACCCTGCCTTATCACACTTTCTGGCTAGGAACTCGCGTTGTACCTCCCACAAGATGTCCACACATTTCAGTTTGTTCCAGCAGCTATCTGCAAAAGGTTTTCTTCCCTAACCTGGGCCTTCCGCCATTCCTGGTTGATGTGTACAACCGAGAGGGAGGGGGGTTCAACCCAGGTGGGTGGGACATGAAATCCCCAAATCAAGGACAAAGGAACTGCAGGCTCTCCGTGGTGGGGAGGGATCCCTGTATCTTCCCAGCACTCCCCAGGAGGGATCCAGGCCCCCCCAAACCGTCCTCACTGAGGGGGTGCCTGTATGACTGCTCCCAGGAGAGAGCACCCAGGATTATTTCCCCTGCCGTTTCCAGAGATTCTGTCTGCAAGCCCTCCTCCTCCGGCCTGACTTTCCTTCTGCACATATTTGCAGGGATGGAAGCGCCGAGGCCTGGAAAGCCCTGCTGCTGCCATGGCAACCATGAACCCCGGGGCGCGAGAGCCGGGCGCAAGCCCCACGCAGCCTCCAGGGGTTTCCCGGGCACTCGGACTGTGGCGCCCCTCTACTCGGTCCTGACAAGCTCCACGGCCTGCCAAGCCCTCCCCAGGCCTGGGAAAGGGCCTCAACAAATATTTCCCACCTGGTTAACAGCATTGGTCCTTTCCACGTTCCCTCCTCCGTAAGAGGCAGCAGCCAGATGTGCCCTCACTGCTCCCCTTTCCATCTGAGGTGCCTTCAATCCTGTCTCGTTACTCCCAAGGTCTGCAAGGGCACCCAAGTCCAAGGGGCTAGTGTTCTCAACCATTAGTGACTTTACTTAGCTCAGTGCTTCCCAGAGCCAGTCGTGGGGATCAGGTTCCCAGACCCTACCCCAGACCTAGGGACTCGGTCTGCAGGGAGAGGCTCAAACCAGAGGGATCCTTATCAGGCAAGGTTGGCAACAGGGCTCTGGCAGGGAGAGGGCCTAGGGGCAAGAGCGAGGAATGGCTTGAATCCGCTGAGCAGCCTGAGACAAACCTCTCCTCATCCCCCTATGTGCAGATTTATCAAAGTAAGAATGCCTTCTGGGAGCAATGAGAACACAGGGCAAAACAGTGTAAGAAGCTCCAGCATCATATAATGTCCACACTATACTACTAATACTGAATTTCTCTTAAAACCACCCAGAAGTTACAGAGGCACCTGGCTGGCTCAGACAGTAGAGCATGTGACTCCTGATCTCAGGGCTGTGAGTTTGAGCTCCACATTGGGCATGGAGCTCACATTTAAAAAAAAAAAAAAAAAAAGATACCATTAAAACCACCTAGAAGTGGGCGCCTGGGTGGCTCAGTTGGTTAAGCGACTGCCTTCGGCTCAGGTCACGATCCTGGAGTCCCGGGATCAAGTCCCGCATCGGGCTCCCTGCTCAGCGGGGAGTCTGCTTCTCCCTCTGACCCTCCCCCCTCTCATGCTCTCTCTCTCTATCTCATTCTCTCTCTCAAATAAATAAATAAAATCTTAAAAAAAAAAAAAAACCACCTAGAAGTTACATTAAGAAGAAAGAAAAAAAAAAAGGCAGGAACTCAGTTCCAGCCCCCTCTGTCCAGTCTCAGCACACCCCACAAGATGACTTTCCCCACATGCTCCTAAATGCTGCCCTGAGGCCAGACCCCTGCAGGCACTTGGGAGCAGCTGGGTCCCCCTGGTCTCCAAAGGCCGATCCTGGGAGGTGGCTGCCGGGTTTGCAATAGTCAAGTCTCTTGCCTGGAACCCAGACTTTCCAAGCCAACGTCCTGTGGTTTCTAAGTCCACACACACACCTTTTCCCTAGGAAAGGCAGAAGCTCCGCAGAGGCCAACAGCAAACAAGGAGTGCTCCCTGGGAAAGGAGTGAAACAAAACTGTGGCCCGGAGAATTCCCACCTCCACACACACCCGTATATGGCATCTGCTTCCCTCCGCCTCTCAGAACGATGTGTTCTCAGCCTCGGGGGAACTAAGGCAGACCCATTCTCCATCTCAAAACCGTTAGGTAAGGGGCGCCTGGCTGACTCAGTCAGTAGAGCAGGTGACTATCGATCTTGGGGTCGTGAGTTCAAGCCCCACAGTGGGCGGAGAGCTTACTTAAAAAAAAATAAAAGGGTAAGGAGCCTGACATCAGACTCAGGCTGGGCCTGATCAGCTGAAACTGCCCTTCCCTCCACAAGAAAAGGGCTGCTGGGGCTTCCTGTCAGGTCCTGGACAGGCATCCCATGTGGTCTGCGGAAAATCAATCCAGGGATGAGGACAGATGGGGGTCTCTCAGGTGCATCTGGGAACCATATGGCTAGAACCAGATGATGACCGCTTATAGGTGGTTTGAAGTGTAAGGGTTAAAAAGAGTTTAATGCACTTCTCAGAATGTAACATTTCACAATTTTTTTTAAGAATTGAAGCAAAAAAAAAAAAGAAAGGAAGAAAAAGAAAAGAAAAATTAAGTACTGAAACTTCAGTACCTGCCCAAAAAACATCCCCCCTCCCAGATGTTTACCAGTCAGGTACCCAAAGAAATCACAGGATTCACAAACCAATTGATGAGATGTCTGGACTGATGTAAATAAGCCAAAGGGAGAGACAGAGATGAAACGAGATTGGTCACGTGTTAACTAGGAAACAGGGCATTGGGCGGGGGGTAGCGCCTGGCTGGCTCAGTCAGTGGAGCATGTTGATGTCAGGGTTCTAAGTTCAAGCCCCACGTTTGGCATAAAGCTTACTTAAAAAAACATAAAAGAATAAACACTAAATGGAAAAAAAAATTCTTTAAATAATGGGGCAGAGGCGCCTGGGTGGCTCAGTTGGTTGAGCGGCTGCCTTCGGCTCAGGTCATGATCCTGGGGTCCTGGGATCGGGCCCCGCGTCTGGCTCCCTGCTCGGCAGAGAGCCTGCCTCTCCCTCTCCCTCTGCCTGCCACTCTGCCTATTTGTGTTCTCTCTTTCTCTGTCAAATAAATAAATAAAATCTTTAATAAATAAATAAATAACGGGGCAGTGGGTACAACAGAAAGACTCATCACAGTGCACCGTCACGATGTGAAATTGTTATATATAGCATATTTTGCATTATAAAAACTGTTAAATCACAGGGTCAGTCGGAAGAGGTGCACGATTGTATGGGTTTCCACTCTACACTCTGTCCCGCTTCCTAGGTCTCTGCTTCTCTAGTTGGCAATTTCTGGAATGTGCCCTGCGCCATGCCTCCAAGCTTTCCCATAAGCTGTTCCCTCCACTAGACATGCCACCACACAGGAAAACTGCTACTTTCAGAACTTGGGCTCAAAGCCTCAAACACAGTGAAGCCCTCCCAGCACCAGCCAGACGGGTCCTGCCCCTCCCCTGCGGTACCAGGGATCCTCCTCTCCTTCCAGCCTCATCTGATGAATTGCCCCGGTTTGCCGGCTTGCTTATCTCCTCACTAGGCCAAGAACGGCTCCGGAACAGGGATCTATTTTTCATTTCCAAGAGAAAGCAGCACAGAACCAGGTGAGTCAACAGATCACCACTTCAGAATCATTTGAAGGATTACAAGAAATGTAGACCCCTACTCCCAGAAACTCTGGGAGTAATCTGGGACTCTACATTTTAAAGCTGGTAATGACTTTCAAAATCAGACCACCTCATTCTGGAATCCTATAGTGGGGAGAGTTGCACAACCTTGTGAATATATTTTTTTAAAACTGCTTTGGGGATGGGGCGCCTGGGTGGCTCAGTCCTTAAGCGTCTGCCTTCGGCTCAGGTCATGATCCCAGAGTCCTGGGATCGAGCCCCGCATCGGGCTCCCTGCTGGGCGGGGAGCCTGCTTCTCCCTCTCCCACTCCCCCTGCTTGTGTTCTCTCTCTGGCTGTCTCTCTCTGTCAAATAAATAAATAAAATCTTTAAAAAAAACAAACAAACTGCTTTGGGGCGCCTGGCTGGCCATTCGATGGAGCATGCAACTCTAGATCTCAGGGTTGTGAGTTCAAGCCCCATGTTAGGCATAAAGCTTATTTTAAACACACACACACTTTAAAACTGTGAATTTTAGGGCGCCTGGGTGGCTCAGACGGCTAAGTGTCTGCCTTCGGCTCAGGTCATGATCTCAGGGTCCTGGGATCGAGTCCCACATTGGGCTCCAAGCTCCTTGGGAGCCTGCTTCTCCCTCTGCCTCTCTCTCTCTCTGTCTCTCATGAATAAATAAATAAATAAATAAATCTTAAAAAAAAAAAGAAAACTGTGAATTTTATGCTGTGCAAACTATGTATCAATAGGTAATAAATATGGGGCGCCTGGGTGGCTCAGTTGGTTAAGCGACTGCCTTCGGCTCAGGTCATGATCCTGGAGTCCCGGGATCGAGTCCCGCATCGGGCTCCCTGCTCGGCGGGGAGTCTGCTTCTCCCTCTGACCCTCCCCCCTCTCATGTGCTCTCTCTCATTCTCTCTCTCTCAAATAAATAAATAAATAAATCTTTAAAAAAAAAAAAGTAATAAATGGGGCACCTGGGGGGCTCAGTCGGTTAAGCGACTGCCTTCGGCTCAGGTCATGATCCTGGAGTCCCTGGATCGAGTCCCGCGTCGGGCTCCCTGCTCGGCGGGGAGTCTGCTTCTCCCTCTGACCCTCCTCCCTCTCATGCTCTCTGTCTCTCATTCTCTGTCTCAAATAAATAAAATCTTAAAAAAAAAAAAAAAAGGTAATAAATAGGGCGCCTGGGTGGCTCAGTTGGTTAAGCGACTGCCTTCGGCTCAGGTCATGATCCTGGAGTCCCGGGATCGAGTCCTGCATCGGGCTCCCTGCTCGGCGGGGAGTCTGCTTCTCCCTCTGACCCTCCCCCCTCTCATGTGCTCTCTCATTCTCTCTCTCTCAAATAAATAAATAAAATCTTTAAAAAAATAAAAATAGGGGTGCCTGGGTGGCTCAGTTGGTTGAGCGACTGCCTTCGGCTCAGGTCATGATCCTGGAGTCCCTGGATCTAGTCCCGCATTGAGTCCCGCATCGAGTCCCGCATCGGGCTCCCTGCTCGGCAAGGAGTCTGTTTCTCCCTCTGACCCTCCTCCCTCTCATGCTCTCTGTCTCTCATTCTCTCTCTCTCAAATAAATAAATAAATAAATCTTTAAAAAAAAAAAAGGTAATAAATAGGGCGCCTGGGGGGCTCAGTCGGTTAAGCGACTGCCTTCGGCTCAGGTCATGATCCTGGAGTCCCTGGATCGAGCCCCGCGTCGGGCTCCCTGCTCGGCGGGGAGTCTGCTTCTCCCTCTGACCCTCCTCCCTCTCATGCTCTCTGTCTCTCATTCTCTGTCTCAAATAAATAAAATCTTAAAAAAAAAAAAAAAAGGTAATAAATAGGGCGCCTGGGTGGCTCAGTTGGTTAAGCGACTGCCTTCGGCTCAGGTCATGATCCTGGAGTCCCGGGATCGAGTCCTGCATCGGGCTCCCTGCTCGGCGGGGAGTCTGCTTCTCCCTCTGACCCTCCCCCCTCTCATGTGCTCTCTCATTCTCTCTCTCTCAAATAAATAAATAAAATCTTTAAAAAAATAAAAATAGGGGTGCCTGGGTGGCTCAGTTGGTTGAGCGACTGCCTTCGGCTCAGGTCATGATCCTGGAGTCCCTGGATCTAGTCCCGCATTGAGTCCCGCATCGAGTCCCGCATCGGGCTCCCTGCTCGGCAAGGAGTCTGTTTCTCCCTCTGACCCTCCTCCCTCTCATGCTCTCTGTCTCTCATTCTCTCTCTCTCAAATAAATAAATAAATAAATCTTTAAAAAAAAAAAAAGGTAATAAATAGGGCGCCTGGGGGGCTCAGTCGGTTAAGCGACTGCCTTCGGCTCAGGTCATGATCCTGGAGTCCCTGGATCGAGCCCCGCGTCGGGCTCCCTGCTCGGCGGGGAGTCTGCTTCTCCCTCTGACCCTCCTCCCTCTCATGCTCTCTGTCTCTCATTCTCTCTCTCGCAAATAAATAAAATCTTAAAAAAAAAAAAAGGTAATAAATAGAACACCCCAGAGGGGACCCTGATCTCCACGTGCAGAGTAGAACGAGCCGTCCACGAAGTAACAAGAGGCTTCACTGGCCAGGTCATCGCACGTGCTTCAAGGAGCAGACGGCCCTTTGTGCTAGGGCCCCACGAAACCAAGGTCCAGCCCCCCAACTCCAGCCAGTACACACCACTACCTGGAATCTGCTAACACAGCCAGGCGACTCCATAACTATTCCTCAAAGAGCTGTGGCTTTCTGGCCCTTCAATCCCACCACCAGGCTGCAGGTGTATCCCACACCCTACCCCTCAATCGGGATGCCACCTCTAAGCCAAACTCACCTCAAAAGAAGAGGAACTGTCAGCAACCCCACCCCATCCGTTTCGAAGAAAACACCTGAACCTCTGACTCCTGTTCCCCAGAGCACAGGTAAGACCCTAAGGCAGTGCACTCAAAGGTCCAAGTCCCAGATGATAAACAGACACGCATGTGCCCACAAGTACACACACATAGGCAGGAAGCAACAGATGGAAAGACACTAGTCAGAGTCCAGATCCCCATACCCAGGTCTGCAGATAAAATACCTTACACCACATTACAGGGACTCAAACCCAGACCTGTGGAGCACTGGGGAAGGGAATTCCGGGGTAAGCCAGAAGTCTCCCAGGTAAAATGGCTTTCCCTCCATTACCCCCCCAAGCCACACAACAAGCAGGCGCAGAGAAAAGTGGGCTGAAACTGAGCATTCAGAGATAGAGGATGAGGTGCAGAGTGGACATGAAAGACGAACGTCTCACGGCTCCAAGGGCTGAGCTCAGGTACAGGGGCGTGGGAAAAGGGCCTGAGAGGACTCCAGGAGCATGGAAACTCTGGGGGCGCAGAGGCGGGGAAGAACTCTGGCGATCACGACTGCGGGGCTGGGAAAGGGATGGAAAACCCACGGGGAGAGAGCTTGTGCCTTCGCAACAGGGTGAGCACGGCCTGAGGGGCGGGACGAGGCAAGGATGGGGAAGGGGCAAGGTCGGGGTAGGGATGGGAAGGACCAGGCGAGGCCGAGGCCAGGGTCGGGGCAGGAAGGACCAAACGCGGCCGACGCCAGGGTTGGGGTGGAAAGGGCCAAGCGCGACCGGGGCAGGGGTCGAGGTCAGGGTGGGAAGCACAGAGCCGGGCCGTGGTCGGGACGGGAAGGATGGAGCGGGCCAGGGGGCTGGATGGAAAGGACGCAAGGGCGACCGAGGCGGGATGGGAAGGCCCGAGCGGAGCCAAGGCCGCGGGGCAGGAAGGAGAGCGGAGAGAGGCGCCGGCCGTACCTCTCCGGAGCTGGCCATGCCGAAGGCGGGCGGGGCCGCGGCCGCGGAAGCCGCAGCCCCAGGGCCTCCCCCTGGGCCGCCAGGGATGCTCAAAGCCGGCGCGTCCACGGCTCCACAGACACCCCGGCAGGGGGCGGGGCCTCCGGCCACTTCCGGCGCCTGGCGTACGCACTTCCGCTCGCCAGCCGGCGTGCCCTGCGCCGCCGCCATGTTGGGTGCGGCGCCGCTGCTGGGGCCCTGCTAGGGCGCGGGGTGAGCCCTGGAGGGCCCAGTCCGCCACAGCTGCGTCTCTGACCTGGGCTCCCCCTCCTCTGCTCCCTGCCCGCTCCTTTCCAGCCACACTGGTCTCCCCTTGCCGGCCTAGCACTCTCCTGCCTGCAGGCCTTGGCATTTGCGTCCCCGTGCCCGCAAATGTGCGAGAACCACGCGTCGACCACCCCGCAGCCAAGGGCATCACCTCCTCCCTGCCGTCCACACCCACCCCAAACTCACCCCTTATCTTGTATTTTTCTCCGTACCTCGATGCCCTGTCCGACCCACTGTGTCTTTTTCTTTTTTCTTTATGTCTTTTTTGTTCGTTTTGTTTTGTTCTCTCGCTGTCCTCAGCGGCAGGATTTTCAGGGAGCGAGGATGTTCCCTGACCGTCGTGGGCACTGAGTAAAGACGAACGTGTGGATGATGTGCCCTCACCCGTAACGCTTTGCGTGTAAAAACCATTCACGAATAAAAATCCGTGGGGAGGGCGCCTGGGTGGCTCAGTTGGTTAAGCGACTGCCTTCAGCTCAGGTCATGATCCCAGGGTCCAGGGATCGAGCCCCTCATCGGGCTCCCTGCTCTGCGGGGAGCCTGCTTCTCCCTCTCCCACTCCCCCTGCTTGTGTTCCCTCTCTCGCTGTGTCTCTCTCTGTCAAATAAATAAATAAAATCTTTAAAAAAAAAAAAAAAATCCGTGGGGAACACTCTGGGGTCAGCACGGATGCTGTCTCCCCAGTGACCCTGAGCATGTATGTGTTTCCTGCGATTGCTGGAACAAAGTGCCACAACCTGGGGCAGGGGGTCGGATCTTAAACCACAGAAATGCATTCTCTCGCAGTTGTGGAGGCCAGAAGTAGGAAATGAAGATGTCGACTGGGCCATGCTCCAACGGCTCTAAGGAAGCGTCCCTTCTTGCTCTTCCTGGCTCTGGGTGGTGGCCAGCAATCCTCGGAGTCCCTTGGCTTGCAGAGACATCACTCCCAAGTTCTGCCTCTGTCTTTGCAGGGCCATCTTCCTTTCTCTGTGTGTGTGTGTGTGTGTGCGCGCGTGCATGCATGTATCCTTTCTTATAAAGACACCAGTCGGGCGCCTGGGTGGCTCAGTCGTTGGGCATCTGCCTACGGCTCAGGTCATGATCCCGGAGTCCTGGGATCGAGCCCCACATCGGGCTCCCTGCTCAGCAGGAGGCCTGCTTCTCCCTCTCCCACTCCCCCTGCTTGTGTTCCCTCTCTCGCTGTGTCTCTCTCTGTCAAATAAATAAATAAAATCTTTAAAAAATGATAATAATAAAAATAAAAAATAAAGACACCAGTCATGTTGGATTTAGGATCCACTTTAATTCAGCATGACCTTATCTTAAATAGTGACATCCAAAGAGCTTGTTTCCAAATAAGGCCTCATTCTGAGGTTCTGGGCAGACGTAAATCTTTGGGGGACACCTATTCAACCTAGCACATCAGGTTTCATATACTCTCCCTGGGCCTCATTTACCTCCCACCTCATTGGGTTAAGCCTGTTAGTAAAACCAAGAGGCCTTTGATGAGCTCCTTCTGTGGGTGGACCATCCTTGGGGCAGGCACAGTCCTTGCCTCAAAGAGTTCGTGGTTTAGTCAACAGTTAAATACAACTTCAAGCATAATAAACATGAGTGTTAATGGAGGTGCCATTGTTTACTATCGAAGGCTTGACAATGGAGCCCGACTATGACCTAGGCAGGCATCGGGAGTTTCAGAAGGAGTTTCTCCTCCAGGCCTAACTCCTGACCCATTCCTCCTTTTCCCCTACAATCTGTAATCAGGTATGTTTTTCACTGTGGTGGAGGTGTTTATTTTCTGTCCCCCAGGGAAGAGGCCACTGTTGGGGAAGAGGCCACTGTTAGGCAAACAGGCTTGAGTGATGGAATGTAGAAAAGGCCCACAGTGACCCCCAGGCTGAATACAGACAGACCCACCACGTGACCTACCTCGCCAATGGGCTACATACCACCCGGCACAGTTACCAAAAAAGGGAAAATGCCCTATGTCGCCATACCTCCTCACCTTCCCCAAACAGCCCTCACCCACTGACTCCTGGCAGACAGTCTCTGCTTTGCTGTCCTGCCCTCCATTCCCTTGCAGGTGTATTCCATCAACTTCTGTCTCCTTTCTTTTGCCTCAGGTGAATTCTTTCAAAGTCTGTGCCACTGGCTTCCACATGATCTTCGCCCCACATCTGGGGGCCCCCATGCGATCAGGACAGACCCCACATTTAGACACCGCACCCCACTAGAACAGAGCTAGGCAATAACAGGCCCTCGATAAACCATTGTCAACGAAATGACTGATTACAGGGGATGATCCATGTAAGTGTCCAACACAGAGGAGCGATTCACAAACTAACTCCTGGGATCCCACATTTCCCAGGTGTTCCAGTTCTGAGGAGCATTTGGTTGGAAACCACTGAGCGTGGGCTCCAGGCAACCAACGTGGAGAGTCAGTTCCAACACCTCACTGTTCTTACCCACTCAGGGGGGGCTCCAGGTTTGGGTGACACTTCCTCACAGTGCTCTCAGTGGCTCCTGATCCCAGAGCCCAGCCCTGCAGTGCCTGGCTGGCCCGAGCCGGGTCTGAGCACCTGGCCGTGGCTTCCCCAAAAACGTGGAGTAGAGGCTGGAAAGGATGCAGGGAAGGTGGTGATCTCTGTTATCTCCCATCCCCTCCAGTTCATCTAGATTTGGGGTCTGGAGAAAAGCTCTTTCCTAATATAAATGACAATGGCCAACCGTTCCCACATCGGTGCTTATTACTCACACTTTCCACATGGGACCTTGTTGGAAATGTCACTGAACCCTGGTGGGTAAGCCCTATTATTACCCATCTTGCAGAAGAGGACACAGGTCTGAGTGAGTAACAAAATTGGGATTGGAGTCCACGTCGTCTCTACTCCAGAACCCAGAGGCTTGGGAGAGGCAGAGAGAGCCCTCCAGTCCCACCTCCCTCAGTGTACTGCAGGGAGCAGAACCTCTGAGTCCCGGGAGGCTGCAGTGAGGGACGAATGGAGCCCGCTGAAGGTGGTCAAGGCAGGGAGACGCCCACCGGGAGAGCCTCCACGCCAACCCCAGTGCCAAAGTCCTCACCTTTGAGAGCACCTCATCCCACCAGAAGAGTTTTTGAAGGAGCCATACCTTCCCTAAGCTCCTCCCACTGCAGCCAGAATGACCTTTTATTTTATTTTTAAAGATTTTATTGGGGCTCCTGGGTGGCTCAGTCATTAAGCGTCTGCCTTCGGCTCAGGTCATGGTTCCGGGATCCTGGGATTGAGCCCCACATCGGGCTCCCTGCTCCACGGGAAGCCTGCTTCTCCCTCTCCCACTCCCCCTGCTTGTGTTCCCTCTCTCGCTGTGTCTTTCTCTGTCAAATAAGTTAATTAATTAATTTTTTTAAAAAGGTTTTATTTATTTGGGCGCCTGGGTGGCTCAGTCGTTAAGTGTCTGTCTTCGGCTCAGGTCATGATCCCAGAGTCCTGGAATCGAGTCCCGCATCGGGCTCCTTGCTCAATGGGAGTCGGGTTCTCCCTCTCCCTCAGCCCCTGCTTTGTCCCCTCTCTCTCTGTGTCTCTCTCTGTCGAATAAATAAATAAAATCTTTAAAAAAAAAAAGATTTTATTTATTTGAGAAAGAGGGAGAGAGAGCACAAGTGGGGGTATGGGGGAGAAGGAGAGGGAGAAGCGGACTCTCCACTGAGCACAGAGCCCAACGTGGGGCTCCACGCAGGGCTTGATCCCAGGATCCCGAGATCATGACCGGAGCTGAAGTCAGACGCTTAACCTACTGAGCCACCCACGTGCCCCCAGAATGACCTTTTAAAACGGTGCGTGCAGAGGTGAAAAGTGACTTTCACAGAGGAAACCCGTACACAGATGTTTATTGCAACTTTATTCATAATTTCTAAAACTTAGAAACAACCACGATGGCCTTTGGTAAGTGATGAATAAACTGTAGTCCATCCAGACAATGGAATATATATTTTTAAGCTTTTATTTTTAAGTAATCTCTACACCCAACACGGGGCTCAAACCCACAACCCCCAGATCAAGAGTCGCATGTTCCACTGACTGAGCCAGCCAGGCGCCCCCAGACGGTGGAAAATTACTCAGCACTATAAATAAGTAATCTATCAAGCCATGAAAAGACATGGAGAAACCTTAAATGTATGTCATTAAGTGAAAGAAGCCAATCTGAAAAGGCTGCATATGGAACAATTCCAACTGTACATTTTGGAAAAGGCAAAACTTTGGGGTCACGAAAAGAATCAGTGGTTTCCAGGGGTCAGGGAAAGGGAGAGCTGAACAGCTGGAGCACAGAGGATTTTTTAGGCAGTGAAACGACTCTGTGATACTATAAGGATGGATGCGTGTCAAAACCCATGCAATGAAAACACCAAACCCAGGGCGCCTGGGTGGTTCAGTCGGTTGGGGGTCCAGGCCCTTGATTTCAGCTCAGGTCCTGATCTCAGGGTCGTGAGTTCAAGCCCCGCATTGGGCTCCAGCGTGGAGCCTGCTTAAAAAATTAATAAATAAATAAAAACACCAAAAAACACCAAACCCATACAGTATAAGCACCAAGAGCAAACCCTAACATAAACTGCGGATTCTGGGTGACGATGATATGTCGGTGTAGGTTCCTCAGTGGTAACAAACGCATCATTCTGGTGCGGGATGTTTTTTTTTTGGTTTTTTTTTGTTTTTTTTTTTTTAAGATTTTATTTATTTTTTTGAGACAGAGAGAATGAGAGGGAGGAGGGTCAGAGGGAGAAGCAGACTCCCTGCCGAGCAGGGAGCCCGATGCGGGACTCGATCCCGGGACTCCAGGATCATGACCTGAGCCGAAGGCAGTCGCTTAACCAACTGAGCCACCCAGGCGCCCTCTGGTGCGGGATGTTGATGGGTGGGGGAGGCTGTGCACATGTGGGGGCCGCAGGTACATGAGAAATCTCTGCGCCTTCCTCTCAATTTTGCTGTGAACCTAAAACTGCTCTAAGAATTAAAGACTATTAATATTTTTGTGTTGAGTATAGTTGACACACAATGTTCCATTAGTTTCAGGTGTAAAAAAAAAATCTCTTCATTTTTTAAAATATTTTATTTTTAAGTCGTCTCTACACCCAGTGTGGGGTTCGAATGTACAACCCCGAGATCGAGAGTCGCACGCTCTACCCACTGAGCCAGCCAAGGGCTCCTGAATTCTTCATTTTAATGAATTTAAATTTAAATGGCCGTGTGTGGGCCAGTGGCCCCTATGGGACGCGACCATAAGCTCCATGAGGGCAAATAGAAGTTGAATGATGAATGACTGAGTGAATAAGCATCAAGCACTTGGCAGGGGTCTCTGGATGGTTCCAGCCCCCATGTGCCTTGGGTGATTCCGGGCCAGAGCAGATGTTCAAACCTCACCATCGCCACCTCTGAGCTGTGTAACCCTCTGAGCCCGTTTCCCACAAGGAAGATGACTGCCCTGTGACCGTGAACTTCCCTGGGTCCTCACCACCAGGATCCAGGAAGAAATATGAGGATGAAGGGGAGGAACTGAGCCCCTCCACTTACCAGGATTCCCCTCCCCTCAGAGTGGCCTGTTGGGACGCAGTTCTCTCCAGGCAGGACTGCCTTGCAGAGGAGGGACATTCCGGTGAGAGGAAGGTGAGCCTCAGTGTCAGGGCCACCCCACGGGGGAGCCAGCCACCTGAGAAAGCAGGGAGCTTCCTGTCCCAGGGTAGGGCAAGCTGCAGAGGGGGCTGGGGGTCCGCATGGCGGTGTGAGCCTTGAGGCCCGTTGATCTGCCAGGCTTCAAAGGCGTTAGGGTCCAGCTTTCTCACAGAAGGTCAGCGACCCGGGGCCAGCCAGCCACTGTGCTCTCGGCCGCGGACTCGAAACGGGTGCACGGAGGAAGGCAGGAAGCAATGTGGCATCCTCTGAGCTAGCCTGGCGGGGTTGGGCTTCCTGGTGCGAGGCCTTTGCTCCAAGCTGGGCAGCAGATGGCTAGCTGCGCCCAGGAGGGAAGGAGAAGGGCCTAAAGGACTCTCCAGGCCAAACCTGTGTGTCTCAGCTGCACTTCCAGGGCCCTTCAAAGGAAAGGATTGATGGGGCACCTGCTCACAACCCACTCTTAGGTGTTACTGGTGTTCCCATTGCTCAGACAGGTACGTGGATGGTGATGTGACTTCCCAACACCACTTACATAAGACAGATGGCCCCAGTCACCCCCCCGTTCCGCCTCGGGATTGTGTCGTCATTCGCCCGGTCTCCGTTCCTGGTCAGTCCATGCCTCTGTCCGCGACGTGCAAGCCCACAGTTCCGTCTGCCCAGCCCTCCCCCAGAAAGCCTTCTCTGTCCTGCTCCAGAGCGACAGCTCCCCACTCCCCAGTCGGCCGGCTTCAGGGTCCTTTATTTTGCTTTTCGTTCAAAAGAGACAAAATGATGAGTGCTTTCCTTCCTCCTTTTTAAATCTGTATTTCTTAGTTGTTGGGTTTTTTGGTTTTTTCTCCCCAGTTTTATGGAGGTGCAATGTGCTGGTTTCAGTGTGGGTGTGGACCTGCAACACCACCCCCCAACCAACATCATGAGCACCTGCATCCCCCTGGGGTCCCGCATCCTTCCTCATACACAGCCTCTGCTCTTCCTCTTCCTTGTCACAATCAGTCATTGTGCCTTCACTTGGTGGCCTGATACTATGTTTCCCTGCTACACTGGGTGCCTCATGCGGGCAGGAAGCACATCTGCTTTCTTCTCCAATGCACCCCCAGACCCTGGCACGCTGCCTGGTACAAAGGGTGGTTGGATAGAGGAAGGAAGGAGGGAGGGAAGGCAGGCCCAGGATACGCCAAGCCCTCAATCAATGCTTGTGAAATGAGTGAGAGGCCCAAGGTGGAAGCTTGCAGCACGGAGTCCAGGGCTTATCACCGCCCCTGAATGGGATCAAGAGCTGGAACTGGCCTGGCGGGGGGGGGGGGGGACTTCCATTTCAGCCCTTGCTGCCCGGGCCCCTAAGACGGAAGCATCCTGCGCTCACTGCCGTCCCATCTGCTCCAGGCCAGTTGCCCAGTTGCGTGCAGGTCAGGGAGGTAGCCCAGGGCCCCCGAGGGAACAAGACTGCCTCCGGAGCCCACACCACACCCCCGCTGGGGTGGGTTATGTACTGAACTGCCAAGGTGAGCTCAGGGGGGATCGGTCACAAGTTCCTGTTTAGTTTTGGAAGGTCTTAGAACAGTCTCCTTCCCACTGACTGAGACAGGCACCTTGCGCTGAGTAAAATGACTTGCGTCCCTCCCAACCTGCCACAACTCCGTGAGACTCTAAGGCACATCCTGCCCACGTGAGGGTCTCTGCTCATCCGTAAGATGGGAGGCAGTGGGCCACCATATTCCCAAGGGCCACAGCTGAATGCTCCAGGGAGCCCTGGGTCAATGGAGGGAGGGGCGGGCCCCCTCCAGGCCTCAAATCTGGACTGACTTGCGTTGGATTCTGGACCTTACTCCCTCTGGATAGAGGGCAAGGGGCCTCCTGCATGGGAGTCCTCCTCCTTTCCCCAGTCACAGCTTCTCGCAGAGGGCAGGCAGGCCAGCCTTGGAGCACCGCATTGTAAGTCAGAAACTGACCTCCAGTGCCAGGTAGACCCTGCCCCCAGGAGCCCAGACCCTGCAGGCCCTTGGGAGTAGGCCAAGCCTGCACTTGAAAACCAGGCCCTGAGTGCACAGTAAGGTACCCGTCACAAGGAAGATTCCAGAACCCGGGCAAGCCTCCCCCAGAGCCAACTGGAACATTCTCTGCCAATCTGACATGCCCCCATCCCAGGCCCTGGACACCACCAGGGAGCTGCCCTTGCACAATCCTAGCAAGGGCTTTCTTTGGCTGTGTGGGAACCATCACTCCAGTGAGCTAGTAGTCAAGGTGGGTCCCCACCCTCAGCCTCAGGGTCTGTGTCCCAAGCCCATCAGGATGACAAAAACGTTGTGGCCTAGGAAGCCCCACTCCAAAAGGACACCAAGTTCAGGTGCCCCAGTGCCTCAGGAGGTATGGCACCTGGACCACCTGACTCTCCTTTCCACATAGCCCAGGTGTCCCACTTTCCTGAAGCATCCAGACCTCAGAACTTAGAAATAGGGGACATAAGACAGGTAAAGGGCCAGGCCCCTTATTTCCTTCTATCCATCTCCCACCCTAGGACTATCCGATGTCAGGGCTCGACACACCTCAGACCCCCTTCCCTTTTGAGGTAGGAATAGCTTGGTCCCTGCTACCCCAAACCCTTCTCCCCAACACCCAAAAAGCCACATTCTCCTTTTCTTTAAGGTGTGCACTTTATTGAACTGGTCTCAAGTCAGTGTACAGGAAAGCCCCGGCTGCCTCCGTGCCTCAACCCCTCTTCCTAGGGAGACCAAAAGCCTTCATAAATCTTAAATTGAAGGGGACAAAAAAAGGGGGGCCATGATGGCAGACCATTCAAAATAAAACAAAAAGAACAAGTATTAAGGCGAAGATTAAAAAAAATTTGGACTACATAATTTACACAAAAGCAATTCTATCACCCTCCCCTGTGTGGACTCGGGCGAGGACTGGCCCTTCTCCTCAGGGAGAAATGGAGTGGCTTTTGGGAAGGCAAGGGACTTCCTGTAACAATGCATCTCACGATATTTGGAATGACTATTTAAAAAAAAAAAAAAACAATGTACAATCAAAGTCCTCGGCCACATTGTAGAACTTTGGGGATGCTCGCTCCAACCAACTGCTGTCACCTTCACCGTTCCAGTTTTTAAATCCTGAGTCAAGCGCCAAAAAAATAACCAAAAAAAAAAAAAAAGAAAAAGAAAAAAATCCAAAAACAAAAAAAACAATTAAAAAACCAAATAAAGCCATGCCAATCTCATCTCGTTTTCTGCGCAAGTTAGGTTTGTCAAGAAAGGGTGTAACGCAACTGAAGTAACAGTCCGCCTAGAAGCATTTGCGGTGGACGATGGAGGGGCCGGACTCGTCGTACTCCTGCTTGCTGATCCACATCTGCTGGAAGGTGGACAGCGAGGCCAGGATGGAGCCTCCAATCCACACAGAGTACTTGCGCTCAGGGGGGGCGATGATCTGGAGGAGGAAGGAGACAGTTAGCATGAAGATCCTGGACCCTGCAGCCCTGAAGGAGGGGCACGCCCACAGGAGCCACCCAACGCGCCCAGGCCGGCCAAGTGCCCCCCACCTTGATCTTCATTGTGCTGGGCGCCAGGGCTGTGATCTCCTTCTGCATCCTGTCGGCAATGCCGGGGTACATGGTGGTCCCACCGGACAGCACCGTGTTGGCGTAGAGGTCCTTGCGGATGTCGACATCACACTTCATGATGGAGTTGAAGGTAGTTTCGTGGATGCCACAGGATTCCATGCCTAAGAGGAAACAAGCAAGACTTGGCTTCCGGGAGTGGCCACAGGGTGACCCCCCGCGGCAGGGGAAGGCAGGCGGGCTCACTTACCCAGGAAGGAAGGCTGGAAGAGCGCCTCCGGGCAGCGGAACCGCTCGTTGCCGATGGTGATGACCTGCCCGTCGGGCAGCTCGTAGCTCTTCTCCAGGGAGGAGGAGGAGGCCGCCGTGGCCATCTCCTGCTCGAAGTCCAGGGCCACATAACACAGCTTCTCCTTGATGTCACGCACGATTTCCCGCTCGGCGGTGGTGGTGAAGCTGTAGCCACGCTCCGTGAGGATCTTCATGAGGTAGTCCGTCAGGTCCCGGCCAGCCAGGTCCAGACGCAGGATGGCATGGGGCAGGGCGTAACCCTCGTAGATGGGCACAGTGTGGGTGACCCCGTCCCCGGAGTCCATCACGATGCCAGTGGTGCGGCCAGAAGCGTACAGGGACAGCACAGCCTGGATGGCCACGTACATGGCCGGGGTGTTGAAGGTCTCGAACATGATCTGTAGGGAGAAGAGCCAGGTCACGCTTGGGGAAACCACCAGAGAGGATCAGGCCAGACTGGGGACATGCAGAAAAGTGCAAGGAACACAGCTAAATGTGCCGGGGATCCCGGGAGGGGGATTCACTTCAGACCTATTGTGCACCTACTGAATACACACTCCAAGGCCACTCGACACCAGCCTCATCGGCTTGGTCACACGAGCCAGTGTTAGTACCTACAACCCACAGCACTTTATAACCTCAAACACCTAATCAGAAAGGCAAACACCAGAAAGATTCCGTCTGGGAAAAAGCAAATAGAACCTGCAGAGTTCCAAAGGAGACTCAGGTCAGAGAAGAAAGTCCTAGGAGAATGGCAGAAGAAAGAACACGTGAGACAGGGCGTGGCACGGAAGAGCAAGAAAGGATGGGGTGGCCGCCCAAAAAAGGCCAGCGGGGCCACTGACCTGGGTCATCTTCTCACGGTTGGCCTTGGGGTTCAGGGGGGCCTCGGTCAGCAGCACGGGGTGCTCCTCGGGGGCCACGCGCAGCTCGTTGTAGAAGGTGTGGTGCCAGATCTTCTCCATGTCGTCCCAGTTGGTGACGATACCGTGCTCGATAGGGTACTTGAGGGTCAGGATGCCCCGCTTGCTCTGGGCCTCGTCACCCACGTAGGAGTCCTTCTGGCCCATGCCCACCATCACGCCCTGCGGAGGGAGGGGCGAGGCGCCCTGAGCACCGGCCCGGGGCCGCGGACCGCCACCCCGAAGGCCAAAGGCCAGCCCCCCCCCCCCGCGAGGAGACGCCCCATCTACCCCGCCCACCCCAGGTCAGACCGGCGCCCTACCTGGTGCCGGGGGCGCCCCACGATGGAGGGGAAGACGGCCCGGGGGGCGTCGTCGCCCGCGAAGCCGGCTTTGCACATGCCGGAGCCGTTGTCGACCACGAGCGCAGCGATATCGTCATCCATGGCGAACTGCGAGGCGAGGCGAGCCGGGCCTTGAGCCGGGGGTCGGGTGGGGCCGCCCCCGCCCAGCCCACTTCCGGCGCGCCGCGGCCTCGCGCCGCCAGGGGGCGCCGGCGCACGCCCACATTGGGGACAAAGGCGGCCGGGCCGGCAGCGTTATTACCATAAAAGGCAAACGCTCATCGGAGGCGGCGCCGCGGCGCGCGGCAGGAAGCCAGGCCCCCGCCCCCTCCCCACCCGCGGCTGGCTCCGCCCCCGTCCTGTTCAAAAAAAGCGCCGGCCGGGCTGGCGGGCGGCGGCCACGCCCGCGGGAGCCGGCGGCGCGGGGAGGAAGTGCGCGCAGGCGCCCTCGCGCCGCGGCGACCCCACCCCTTCCGGCCGGCCGCACCGCCCTCGCCCCGGCCGCGGCTCCCGGCCCGAGCGCGCACGCGCACGCGCACGCGCAGCCGCGTCCCCAGCCCCCACCCGGCCGGCCGGCGCACCCGCCGCGCCCACCCGCCCCGCCACCCGGCCGCCCGAGCGAGCCCGCCCGCTCGGACAAAGGCCCGCGGCCGCCTCGGCCCGGATTGCATGCAGCACGCCGGGGGCGCGCGGGGCGAGCGCAGTCCCGCCCGAGCGAGGAGGGGAGCGCCAGCCCCACCGCCCGTACAGCCGGCGGCTCTCTCCCGGCGCGGGGCCGGAGGAAGCGGCGGCGGCGCGGTGCTGCAGCGCGCCCCGGGCCGGGAGCCTACCTGGGGGAGGTGTAAACCGGCGGTGGCAGCGGCGGAGCGGCGAGGGCGAGGGGCCTGTGCTCGCGGGGTGGACGCGGTCTCGGCGGTGGCTGCGCGTCGCGCCGCCGGGTTTTATAGGGCGCCGCCGCGGCCGCTCGAGCCATAAAAGGCAACTTTCGGAACGGCGCGCGCTGATTGGCCCCGCGCCGCTCACTCACCGGCCTCGCAGCACAGTGCAGCATTTTTTTACCCCCTCTCCCCTCCTTTTGCAAAAAAAAAAAATAAGAGAGAGAGAGAGAGAGAACGAGCCGGGCTGGGAGAGAGCGAGAGCGAGATTGAGGAAGAGGAGGAGGGAGAGAGTTTTGGCGTTGGCCGCCCTTAGGTGCTGGGTCCGTGGGCCGCCGCCCCGCTGGGCAATGCCTGATCCGGCCCCTCTCGTGTTCTCCACCCCAGGACCCTCCGGGTGTGGGCATCACATGAGCAGTGAGCGCCCCGGTGGGCAAGGGTCAGCACGGATGTGAGGGTCCCCGGTTTCTGTGGGTGCATGCTTAAGGAGCAGTTGCAGGGGAAGCATTGGTCCACATTAACTCCACTGCCCAGAAAGCCTGGATTGGGGAGGTGGAGGGGCCTCTGGCTGGGGGTGCTCAGCTTGCTAACTGAGGGGCATTACTACTCAGACACCTGGGGCAGAAGGGTATGGTGTGGTGTGAGGGAGCCAGGGGGCTTGTGGCCACTTAACGGGGTTCTCGGGCCCCAGAGACAGGACAGGCATCCAGAGCAAGAGGCTGGAAATTCCCTGTGAAGAGGGCCCCAAGCCTCCCCCTGCTGCAGGCCTGGCCAGAGGTGGGCTCTGTAGAACAGAGAAACTGTTCCCGTGGAGCCAGGCTGCCTCCAGGAGCTGCCTGGTCACACCCAGCCGAGCCGTTAGCCCATGACCCAGGCAGCTGCTGGGCGAAGGCAGGCAGGGCTGCTCAGCGCAGCTCTGGGGCCCACCATCCATCGTCTGTCTGTCATGGGCAGCCACAGCTGAACTTCTGTCCTGGACCATCTGGAGCCTGCCAAGGACCCTTAATGCCCCAGAGATGAGTTAGCTCAAGGGCGGCGGGATGGCAGGGACAGTAGTTGAAGACCTGCTGCCCCCAGAGGAGACCCTCTCCTTGTCACCCTTTCCTGCCCTGGGTCCCTCCACCAAACATTGGGCAAGATCTGGGTGCCCGGGAGTGTTCTGGGTGGTTCCCTGCTCTGAGAGCTGCCAGTCTGGCAGGCAGATCCTGTACCCAGATGGTGGCCAACGATGATAGTGTGTGGCAGACAGAAGCCCAGGGCTTGGGGGACCCCAGAAGGACGTCTGGCTCAGCCTAGAAGACCGTGCACCTTCTGGGAGGTGGTGACAGGAAGCTGAATTTTCACACAGAAGATGGAAAGGGTGGTCTAGGTAGGGGCACTGGCCTGCAGCCACTGGTCTATCTCTGGGCACCCCAGGCCTGCCCAGGGCTTTGCTGCATATAGTAGGTGCTCACAAGCTGTGTGTTGAAACCAGTGACCCTGTAGTCCATATATGGATGTCCAGTCTGGTCCTGCCCACCATGGGTGGCTGGTAGCAGGGCACTCCGGAGTTGCAGGGGCCACAGCTGGGTGGGAAGGGTGACCATCCCCCAGCACACAACAGAACCCTCAGGCTGAGACACAAGCGAGCATCCCCAGAGCACTGCATGCAGCTCTCCGATCACTGATCACCGCTCTGGGCTTGCGGGAATGTTCCCAGCCCGTCCACTCCCTGCCTCCCCGGGAACTGCCCTGGCCCTGGCCTTGTATCTCTCAGTCGTGGGCATCTGGCCAGCGAGCTGCCCTGGGGCCTGCCTGCCCTGCAGTTCAGGGGCTGGGGAGCGACCGTCTTTCTGCCTGCTGGTGAGGGCTGCTTGGGGCTGTTCACTGAGCCTGGAGGAGTGCTGGGCAGGCTGGGACTAGGGCTGCAGGGCCAGGGACGGGAGGCCCTAGGACAGTTCCAGGCAGCTACGTGGGGTGGAGAGCCGACCTGCTCCCCAAGCAGGACCTGTGCTGCCACCTCACCTCTTCTCCACCAGGGATGGGCCGAGGTGCAGGAGCACCCGCCCAGCGAGACCTCAGACTGGAACACGCGTGGCCCTGCGTCTGGTCTGCCACAGCCCTCCTGCTGCTCTCCCAGGCATCCTTCAAGGCCTGTCCCGGAAGGCCCCTGTTGGGGGTGGGGGAGCCCTTTGGCATCTGCAGCCTAGACCGCCGCCCTCCCACTTAGGACCACTGCACTCGGCCGGCCTTTCACGGCTCGGCGTCCCCCTCCAGACTGTGAGCCCTGGCATCCACCTCCTCCCACCGCACCCTCCCTGGGGCCCTGTGCTGGTGAATGGACAAGTGACTCCTTGGGTATCCTCAGGCCTCTGAAGGGACACTGGGAAGAGAGAGGCCTGGGATGGGGGCTGGGCTGCAGGCCTGGGGGGAGGGGAAGAGAAAAAGAGGAAGTGGGGCCTGCCAGAGGAAGGGGGAGGAGAGTGCTGGAGAGGAAGTGAACAGGTTCTGCGCTTGGGAACTTTGCCCTTGCAGGGAGATTTCCGAGCTGTCACTGGGGCCGGCATACAGCCCCCCAGCCTTAGCCTGGCTCAGCCAGTGGGGACTTCACCTGCTTTCTGGTGCTTTTTTCCTCTTGCGGTTCCCCCACCCTGCAAGGCGTCCAAGCAGGGGACACTTAGAGTCCTCCCAAAGGACCACTCCCTGGCCCTCTCTAGAGAAACAGCTACCCAGCCACCTGGCCCTGGGTACTTGAGCCCCACAGCTGCGCTGCCCGGTGAGGACCCCAAGCTCCACTTCGCAGAGGAAGAAACTGATGTGTGGCTTCTGGACTCTTGGCTCCAGGAGGGTGGAAAGGCTGCACACAGCAGGTGCTCGGTGAGGGCTAACTGAGGAATGAGGGCATGGAACCCTGTAGCAAACACATGTCCCCTTTACAGATGAGGACACTGAGGCAGGACTGGAGTCCAGCGTGAGGGACACTAGGCGCGGTGCCCCAGGGAGCCTCACACTGCCCCTCCCTGGTAAAATGCCCCCTGGAGTGCTCCCAGGGACTGGGTCCAAAGGCTGTTCCAAAGTCTGAGTTCTCGGGTCCCACTTCCCTCCTCAGTGCTTATCTCCTGGGGGCCAGAGAGAGTAGCCACCAGCCTTTGGTCACACAGCAGTGGGTCCTGAGGCCCCAAGCCTGCAGTCTCCTGTCACCTTTTTGCACTGCCCTCCTCCCCTGTTCCTAGGATAGTCTCAAAAAAAGGAGATTCTGGACCTCAGCATTCCTAAGGGACTGGGCTTGGGTTTCCTGTGCCCCCTGCTCAACTTTTCCTACGCCTCCGGGCCGGCTCTTTGGGATGCCCCCTCCAGGAAGCCTGCATGATTTCCTCCTTCTGCTACCATAAGACCGTAGGACAGTAGCTTTCCTGCCCAGGGGAAACAACCCAGCGGGGATCACACAGCAAGGGCACAGCCAGGAGCCAAACCTCCAGGATCACAACTGCCCTTGCATCCGACACGCCAGCACCAACCAGCCAGGCATGCTTCCAGAGTGGAACAGCACCAGGCACTGTTTTGAGCAACACCCTGCAGAAAGCAGGTGTGATCCCGGAGACAGACCTCAAATGAGAGAGCAAAAGAGAACTCCTCCGCTGTGCCACCTACGAAGGAAAGCAGTAGGTTTCCTCAGGAAGGAGGGAGCTTCTTAAAGGGTAGTCAGGGAGCCCCCCACCGCACCCTGAGGAGGTGAGCAGCCAGCGGAAGGGGGCCCCGGAGGCAGGAAGGCTGGGCTGGGCAGCAACCAGGGCCTCCGTCCCCACCCAGGCCTGGCCTCTGGCCAGAGTCTCCCAGGGCCTCAGCCGGCCTCAGGCTACCCTGCTCTCCGAAAGTCATCCCCCCAATGGGGGATCCCCGCCCTGGAGAAACTGGGAACTTCTAATACTTCTTGGGAGAGTTTTTAAAAATCCTTAAAAACTACCCCGTCTCTCTTCCTGTGCCCCAGGGCGCTCTGAGAAAGGCCGGGCCCTCCTGGGAAGTTCCCAGCCTTGCTCACTTGAACTTGATTGAATTTTCAGAAATAAAAAACAAGGTTCCCTGGGCTCCCCCCTCTTCTACACGCACCAGCTGAGCCCGTTCTTCTTGCCCCAGACCAGCTGCTGGGAGGGCTTGCTGTCCCCAGTCCCCAGAGGAGAACCCCAGGCGACCCAGACAGACCCTGAGTGTGACAGGGAGCCGGGCCCTGGGACCTGAAGACACCTCCCAACTGGGGGGTGTGGGGAGGCTGGGGCGTCCCGGCCTCCCCCGCAGTTGTCCTGGGAGGGTCTTAAAGCCCACTCATCCCCACTGCTCTCCCGGGGCAGCTGGTGACCTGCAGACCAGGGCCTGAGAAGCCAGGCAACACAGGTCCGATCAAGCAGGGTGGGGTCAGCTGCAACTTCAAGGCCAGGTGGGATTCTGGAGGCAACCTGCCCGGGCCCCCTGGCGTGTGGGCAAACACACCCAGAGGGGAATGGCAGGGACGGGAGGTACCACACACACCTTGCCCCTTAGGCCTCTGTCCCTGGGCTGTGAAAAAAAAGGGGGGGTGCCATCTGGCACGCAGGGTGCTGGGAGCGGTCAGTGACGTGGGGACTGAAGTCCCAGCTCCGGGGCCAGAGCCCCCAGAGATCTGGTCAGTGTGGAGGCTCAACCCCTTCCCGGCTGGGTGGCCTTCTCCCTGCTACTCTTCTGCCTGGCCCAGGGGCCTAGAATGCCTGAGGCGCTGGAGGAGTGGAGGGAGGGAGGGAAGGAGGGGCGCCCCTCCTGGAGGGCCCGAGGAAGTGAAAGGGGAACGTAAAAGGGGGAAGGAGGTGTTGGAAAGTGCAGGCGGGTGGGGCCCGTTGACTCAGAGGCCAGGCTCACTCACCTCACGGCTAAGCCTGGCCTCCCCAGTCCCTGAGAGTCCCTGAGGGCCTGCTCTGACCAGAGCCGGGCCTGCGTCACCACCCAGAAATCTCACCTCGCCCCTGCCAGCTCAGCCGGAATCTCCCCATTTCTCAGACTCACAAACTGAGACCAGCGACCCACAGGACTTGGTCTTGCAGTTAACGGCGCACCATGACAGGACGGCCACGCCGCCAGTGGGCAGTGACAGAGCCGGGCTCCGTGG